TCATTGGCAGCCCTGGTTAGAACCTCAAGCGACAAACTAAATTCACTGGATATGTTTCGTCCAATGGTATCCCAAACTTGATCTGTCTGTTCTCCATTACCATGAGCCATGGAACCGTCGACGTTCTAGTCAAACTTTATGTTATTTAGTATCCCGTATCTTTTGGTTTGATTTTTCACTATCAAACTGCTCTCAGTTGATCTTTTGTTGTCCTCCCACTTGTATCGTTGCCTAGCACTTGCTCTCTTGGATTTGACGTTTCTCTCCGGTATGGTGTTGAAATAGAGAATGATTTGTTTTTGATTGTGGCCGAGATATTACAATGAGTTCTTTCAGTAACTCTCTTTTCCTTGGTAATCTCTTCATAACTTCTGTATTTGACTGTGTTTGTTTTCATGAAATACGATCTATTTTACACGAAGGCGTCGATGGAAATGAAAGAGCTGACAGGTTGGCTGGATCCGCTATCACTACCGACGGTCAGCCTATGGATCATGCTGATATTATCAATGCCCTCAGAGAAATGGGAAGGATAGAGGACTTTAAGGGCAGTGAATCCACATCACTCGCCAGAATGGCAGACTTGGGAATTAAGATCGGCACAGCAAAAAACGAGACGCACACCAGACACGCCAGAAGACTTGTTAATCCACATAGAACTGGTACTAAAAGCCATCGGACGTTGGGGTTCATACTGAGGGGAGGATCTGAGCAACTATGGACATGTCCGGAGTGCAATGATGATAACCCAACTAACTAACTAACTAACGATCTATTCCTCTTATACCCACATTTCAAGAGACTCATTCGATTTTCTAGTTGCTTAGTTACTGTCCAAGTGTCTGCACCATACGACACGGTTGAGTAGGCATACATTCTCAGGTAGATCTTAAAACGGATGTGCACGCAAAACTCAAGTTCTGGATTAGGACCAAAGTTCAGAAAAGGACGAACAACCAGAACTTTTGGCCTGAGTTTACAGCCAACAAACACTAAAAAGATCAGAAAATGTCTACAAAAAACCTGACGATCCTCATGTCTCATGTGTTGTCTGTTTCACCTTGCTGAAGACAGTTTTAGCCATTCGCTTTTTCTGTTTGACTTCTCATGTCCACCGCTTGTATCGTGGATTGTTACGTGTCAAAGGTCACAGAAAGTGGTTACTTGTTGAAATCTCTCTCCATTCGCTAGGGTGTTCAGTCACTTTAGCGAACATGTATATTACAATTGTTTCATTATAGCACCCATCTGTATTCAGATTTGTTATTTTAGTGCACGTCTGTATTGTTATTTTTAATTTAGCGCCCATATTTTGTTATATTTACCGTAGCGCACATGTATATTGCTATTTTATCCCATAATTTTAGCACATACTTGTATTACTAATTTTACTGTAGCACACATTCACACTGTCAGGTTTTTCCTAATTTTAGCACATATTTGTATTACTATTTTTACTGTAGCGCACGTTCACGTTGCCATTTTGTAATTGTTGCAGATATGTGTATTACTATTTCTAATGTAACATATAACGCAATTACCATTTCTAATGTAACATGCATTTGTATTACTATAAATTGTGGCGTACAAGTCGAAGTGACGATTATTAGGTCACAAATGAAAGTAAGGCTACGCGAGGTAGGCCAACCATCTGCTATTTAAGCCGACCCTAAGTTTTGGGAAATGTGTGTGTGTGTATTGCTTGAAGTCGACTCTGTAGCTAAGTCGATGCGAACGCTTTGTATTGCCAGGGTGCCGGGTTCGATCCCAGCTGCGGGCCATTCGCCTTGCGTTGGTTTCGACAGTGGTATCTATGGGCCGACCGTCCAGCCAGCAATGGCAAACTAATAGATGTAAATTTGCCTAGAGAAACCATACAACAGCCAGGGGCTGTTGGGGTTGGTTCTGCAAAGTCCTGTAAAGGATACGCAGCTAACCTTTTACATTGATAAAAACTCGACTGATAATCAAACACGCTTCGTCGACCGGGTCACCCACTGGCTCGCCGGTAGATGACTTCGTCACCGGTCGGGACTGTATTTCGGTCTCTCTCTTCTGATGGCATCAACACTGCAGGACACGTCATTAGAGCCACTTTATATGGCTCGCATAAACCTGGTCACAATTATAACCTAGGTCTCCCCCTTCTGGTTAAACGTGGCGATTCCCCCCCCCCCCCCACCTAAGCACCTACTTACCTCGACTTACACGCGGCAATTTACGGTACTGCTTCTAATTGTGGCCCACGTATGTGTTACTGTTCATGTTCTGTCCATGTCGACGAACGCTCAACTAAAACTGTATCATAGATGATGATGATGATATGTTGTACTCTAGAAGTAAAATTGTGGTTAAATGACAGCAGCACTCTGATACTTGTCTTTGTTGTGTGGATACTGGGTTTTCTGGCTGTTGAGTAATAATGCGGTCTGGCTAAGTTCACGATGTCCACAATGACGTCAGCAGTCGCTACAGTCTATTTATATCATCACCACCATTTCATCATCACCATCATTATCACCACTGTCAGGGACCTACTTTACTCTGTAATATTTTATATGGCTCGCTAGGTAGGCCAGCTAACAGACTTTACTACCTAGACCACACTTAAGACACACTCCTGCTGAGTACAAACATAATCTTTAATGAACAAATCGACGTTAAACACTTCAACTGAGTTAGGCAGTTCCTATCCGAAACCTCTGGCGATGAGCAGCTTTACAATCACTGATCAACCCACGCAGGTCCCCATGGATCTACAAGGAACACGACTCCTAGCTGACAGTTTATCAGTGCTAATTAAGCCGCCGTCTATTGCCACACGGGACTCAGCGATACACGTAAGGTGCATGGCCTAAGCGTGACTGGGCAGTGTTACCGCCATTCACAATGCGCGTCACACCTTTACTAACTGCTCACACAAATACTGCATGGAATGTCTACTACACAAGGAACATTAACTCTATACTATCTAGTCGAAACATTAAATATAAACACAGCCTATCATAAAAACTAAACACAAAGATCCTATTCCAACTAACCGTCACTAAACTTAATTTTACCTAGTAAAAACGTTCCGTCTTGTTGTCTCGTCCCGTCTCAGTACACGACTCTCTCTCAACCTGCTCTGACAAAGCTTTTTGTTCCGGGCCCGAGTTCACGGCTCAACACGCAGTAATCCGTGTCACCTGTGTGAACTAGGCTTGGTCCGTTAACTGGACCCAGTTTATTCCGTGGTCAAGCTGTCCGCTCTCATACTGAGTTGTACTGAAGGTCAACTCGTTCATACGTTATGATTCACTATCATCAGAGTTGTCCTTCCCATAGCCGAACTGACCTCTGACAACCACCACGATCATCAACATCTTCAGCACCATCACCACCACAATCACCATCATCATTATCATGAACACGACTTACATCATCATCGTTATCACCACCACTCCCATAATCAACACCACCCACATCACCACCATCACCTCCAGCAGCCAGGCTAACAAATCTTGTAACAAAACATCAGTGGAAGGTTCAATAACATAACCGTATCGCAGCTAAACGATGAAAACGTTCACACAAAGCCAGCGACAATCCGCTCCCATCCAACTCGTCATGAAAGTATGCTCTTCCTGAAGTCTAAACCAACCAACCGTGACAAGAAATGATACCCGCAGAATGTCGGCGGATCTGTTTGAACTGTTCATGGAAATGACTCCAAGGAAAACGTGATTGAAACTGTCAAACAACTTTTTGCCGTGATTATTTGATGGATTAGACGTGATTATGTGTGTGTTTCTGTGAGTGTCTGCAAGTGTGTTCGTGGCCGAGGAAGGCGGGCGAGGACCTATGTTGCTTCAGGTATCTTTGACATTGCCACTCCTGTTTTTGTCAAGTGTTGATGTTTTCTTCAAATCTCTCTAACGAAACAAATCAACACATTGACAACTTGCGATGTTTTCCTTAAGCACAACAAAACATACCGAACATCACAAACCAACTTGCCGCATCTGCTACAATTACTTTCCCCTGCCGGGATTCATTCAACATGACCGCATGTTTCCCGCATGTTTCCCGACTTCCCCATTATCTGCGTTTGTACAAGGTTTGAGGTTTGAACAACGGATTAACATCATGGCACCTGGATAGTAACCCATAAGTGCTTCGTTCTTCTTCTAACTCAAGACTGAGTCCGAAGAAGCTCACCACAGTGCACAACGTTTGTGGCACCGGCGAGGATCCTGACATACTTGGGGTAGATTTTTAACTCACAAAAAGTGCCCCGCCATCTTGGTGGTTAAGTCAGTAACTATCAACTGTGACAAGCAGTCTGTACAGACCAGAGAGAGAGAGAGAGAGAGAGAGAGAGAGAGAGAGAGAGAGAGAGAGAGAGAGAGAGAGAGAGAGAGAGAGAGAGAGAGAGAGAGAGAGAGAGGCCGACGTGAAACTGCGATCACGTCATCAACACACAGGGGAAATATTAGAAATACCATTTGAACACTAGGGCGGAGAAAATTTCGGGAACAATTATATGACTGTAAGGTGGGGAGTACAATGGTAATGTAGGGACAATGACATGACTGTAAGGTGGGGAGTAGAGGAACTATGATATGATTGTAAGGTGGAGTGTAGAGGAACTTTGAACTGACTGTAAGGTGGGGAGTAGCGGAACTATGACCTGACTGTATGGTGGGAAGAAAAGGAACTATGACATGACTGTAAGGTAAGAAGGAAATGAACTATGACATGTCTGTAAGCTGGCGAGTAGATGAACTATGACATGACTGTAAGGACATGACTGTAAGGCTGGGAGTGGAGGAAATATGACATGTCTGTTAGGTGGGGAGTAGAGAAACTATGACATGACTGTAAGGTGGGGAGTAGAGGAACTATGACATGACTGTAAGGTGGGGAGTAGAGGAACTATGACATGACTGTAAGGTGGGGAGTAGAGGAACTATGACATGACTGTAAGGTGGGGAGTAGAGGAACTATGACTTGACTGTATGGTGGAAAGTAGAGGCACTATGACATGTCTGTAAGGTGGAGAGTATAGGAACTCTGACATGTCTGTAAAATGGGGAGTAGAGGAGCTATGAACTGACTGTAAGGTAAGGAGTAGAGGAACTATGACATGACTGTAAGGCGGAGAGTAGAGGAACTATGACATGACTGTAAGGTGACGTCATCTGAAACTGTTTGTCCTATACAACCGGACAGCGGTGGTTAATGAGAAAATCAACTCGACAGGAGTTGGTTCAGATCTGAGCACCCCCTCCCTAGCACGTTTGCCCGGAGGTGGTCCCACGATACTCTCGGACTAGTTTATGAGATTTTAATGCGGCTGAGATGAGCCGGCGGACCAGGAAGTGACCTGGGCTAGGGCGGGGTCGGCTAAGGAGCTTCTATAAAAGGCCTCACATTGGTAGGTCCGGCATGGATTTGACTGCAGTCTGCCACAGCTTCGATCTGCTAGCCGCCGCAAAGTCACACATTCGTAAGTACAACTCTCTCCTTGCTGTGTCTCACTAGCTGCCCTATGTGCCCGCACCTCCTCCTGCTGTCATCACCTCATCACCCACACTCACCTCTGTTTCTTATATCATTCCCGCCCTAATGTGTGCCCAGCCTCTCGCACTCAAAACCTCATCTTTTGTCCTCACCATATAAACAACATCATCCTATCTCTCTTTCTCTCTCTCTCTCTCTCTCTCTCTCTCTCTCTCTCTCTCTCTCTCTCTCTCTCTCTCCTTGCTACCTCATTCACTCCACTCAATGTCGACCTCTGCACTCACGCACTCATGTCTCTGTCCTTGCTACCTCATTCACTCCACTCAACGTCGACCTCTGCACACACGGACTCATCTCTCTGTCCTTGCTACCTCATTCACTCCACTTAACGTCGACCTCTGCACACACGCACTCATGTCTCTGTCCTTGCTACCTCATTCACTCCACTCAACGTCGACCTCTGCACACACGCACTCATCTCTCTGTCCTTTACTTCTTTAAAAACTCCATGTATGTCTCTCTGTCCTTCAATCCTTTCACACCTTTATGTCTCTCTGTCCTTCAATCCTTTCACACCTTCATGTATGTCTCTCTGTCCTTTAATCCTTTCACAACTCCATGTATGTCTCTCTGTCCTTCAATCCTTTCACACCTCTATGTCTCTCTGTCCTTCAATCCTTTCACACCTTTATGTCTCTCTGTCCTTCAATCCTTTCACACCTTTATGTCTCTCTGTCCTTCAATCCTTTCACACCTCTATGTCTCTCTGTCCTTCAATACTTTCACACCTCTATGTATGTCTCTCTGGCCTTCAATCCTTTCACACCTTTATGTCTCTCTGTCCTTCAATCCTTTCACACCTCTATGTCTCTCTGTCCTTCAATCCTTTCACACCTCTATGTATGTCTCTCTGTCCTTCAATCCTTTCACACCTTTATGTCTCTCTGTCCTTCAATCCTTTCACACCTCTATGTCTCTCTGTCCTTCAATCCTTTCACACCTCTATGTATGTCTCTCTGTCCTTCAATCCTTTCACACCTTTATGTATGTCTCTCTGTCCTTCAATCCTTTCACACCTCTATGTATGTCTCTCTGTCCTTCAATACTTTCACACCTCTATGTCTCTCTGTCCTTCAATCCTTTAACAACTCTATGTATGTCTCACTGTCCTTCAATCCTTTCACAACTTTATGTATGTCTCTTTGTCCTCATCACTTTACTCACTTCACTCTGTGTCCTCAGACTAATATATTCACCAATTATCATCGCCTAACTCACCTCTGTGTGTGGCCACGTCTCTCACTCCCCTCTGTTTCTTCATCTACTTTTTCTCCATTCTCTGACCTGATCTCCTAACCCACATCCTCCTCTTTGTCCTCACCTCCTCATTCACCTATTCCTCTCTGTCCTCACCTCCTCACTCACCTCACCTTCTCCCTCCCTCTCTGTATCCACAGATCATGTACAAGGCAGTCGTCGTCCTCCTCCTGGTAGCCACTTTGTCCATGACTGCTGAAGCTTTCATTGGTGGCTATGGGATTGGTTTCCCTGGATACGGCCTTGGCATCGGTAAATATGGATTTGGTGGATATGGACTCGGCGGCATGGGATTCGGCTATGGTGGGCTCGGATACGGACTTGCTGGCTATGGATATCCTCTGGGTGGTATTGGATATGGTCTGGGTGCAGTCGGCTATGGTGGAATTTACGGTAAGCATGAATCATTTTGTTTACAGTAGTTCGCTAGCTAAGCTAGTCGATCAGAAGCTGGTGTAGTAGTTAGCCCGTCATAGATGCTGGCTAAGTAAAGAGGATCGAGAAACACACAGCTTCAAGGAGACGGACTAGGCTAGTACTTATCAGAATCCAGTCGTGAATCCTACTGTGCACAGATTCTAGACCCTGTTCTAGATAAGTACAAAATCTGTAGATGTGGGTACAAGATCTGTAGATGTGGGTACAAGATCTGTAGATGTGGGTACAAGATATGTAGATGTGGGTACAAGATCTGTAGATGTGGGTACAAGATCTGTAGATGTGGGTACAAGATCTGTAGATGTGGGTACAAGATCTGTAGATGTGGGTACAAGATCTGTAGATGTGGGTACAATATCTGTAGATGTGGGTACAAGATCTGTAGATGTGGGTACAAGATCTGTAGATGTGGGTAAAAGATCTGTAGATGTGGGTAAAAGATCTGCAGATATTGGTACAATATCTCTAGATGTTGGTAAAATATATATAGATTTGGTTACAAGATCTGTAAATGCGGTTACAAGATCTGTAGATGTGGGTCCAAACTCTGCAGATGTGGGTACAATATCTGTAGATGTGGGTACAAGATCTGTAGACGTGGGTACAAATCGTGGCTGTATAAATGGCGTGAGCTTGTCTAGGATTCCCAGCACCTATGTTTACGTATCACGCTAGGTGTCACAAGCAGTTATCGACCTGGCAACGATGACATTATAAAGCAAGTCCGTGCAGAACGACTCCTCAGCCTTTCTGGTAGACAACAAATGTAGCTAGTTTTTCGTCCGGGTTATTAATAACCTATATCTGCATGCTGTCCGCCCACTTGTAGCGCTTTCTGCATCTTTCTAGTTTGCATCTAGACAATCCCATCCCTAGTATGGTTTTTAACAGAGCGTTAAGTCTTTTATGGTGGCCTAAATATTTCACTTGAATTTATTTTCAGCACTATTGAATTGTTTTTGTTTCCATGAAAAACGACATAGTCTTCTGTATACCCACACGTCCAGAGACAATTCGATCTTCTAACTTCCTGTTTCTTGTCCAAGTTTCTGCACCATACAGCAGACTTGCTTATACATAGCACTTTATTCGATCTTCTAACTTTCTGTTTGATGTCCAAGTTTCTGCACCATACAGCAGGCTTGCTCATACATTACACTTGATTCGATCTTTCTAACTTCCTGTTGGTTGTCCAAGTTTATGCACCATACAGCAGACTTGCTTATACATAACTCTTGATTCTATCTTTCAACTTCCTGTTGGTTGTCCAAGTTTATGCACCATACAACAGGCTTGCTTATACATAACTCTTGATTCTATCTTTCAACTTCCTGTTGGTTGTCCAAGTTTCTGACCATACAGCAGGCTTGCTCATACATTACACTTGATTCGATCTTCTAACTTCCTGTTGGCTGTCCAAGTTTCTGTACCATACAGCAGGCTTGCTCATACATTACACTTGATTCGATCTTCTACTATCCTGTTGGCTGTCCAAGTTTCTGTACCATACAGCAGGCTTGCTTATACATAACACTTGATTCGATCTTCTACTATCCTGTTGGCTGTCCAAGTTTCTGTACCATACAGCAGGCTTGCTTATACATAACACTTGATTCGATCTTCTACTATCCTGTTGGCTGTCCAAGTTTCTGTACCATACAGCAGGCTTGCTTATACATTACACTTGATTCGATCTTCTACTATCCTGTTGGCTGTCCAAGTTTCTGTACCATACAGCAGGCTTGCTCATACATTACACTTGATTCGATCTTCTAACTTCCTGTTGGTTGTCCAAGTTTCTGCACCATACAGCAGGCTTGCTTATACATAACACTTCCTGTTGGTTGTCCAAGTTTCTGCACCATACAACAGGCTTGCTTATACATAACACTTGATTCGATAGTCTACTTTCCTGTTGGTTGTCCAAGTTTCTGCACCATACAACAGGCTTGCTTATACATAACACTTGATTCGATCTTCTACTATCCTGTTGGCTGTCCAAGTTTCTGCACCATACAACAGGCTTGCTTATACTGCAGTGAACATGTGGTTTCCGATGGTCTTTGGCGACCCCCGTGAAAGGGTCGTACGTCACCCACAGGTTGAGAACCGCTGCTCTAGAACTATTTCCTGATTCTTATCTCTGTATCTCTCCATCTCACTTCTGCCATCATCTCTGTATCTCTCCATCTCACTTCTGCCATCATCTCTGTATCTCTCCATCTCACTTCTGCCATCATCTCTGTATCTCTCCATCTCACTTCTGCCATCATCTCTGTATCTCTCCATCTCACTTCTGCCATCATCTTTGTATCTCTCCATCTCACTTCTGCCATCATCTCTGTATCTCTTTATCTCACTTCTGCCATCATCTCTGTATCTCTCCATCTCACTTCTGCCATCATCTGTTATTACTTAGCAGTAATTTGTGATTTGTTCTAGTGTCTCTCCGTGGTTACTGTGAGGTACACATTTGGTACAGGGCTAACTGCTTAATTTCTTTTGTGAGAACATTTGTTTTTTTTTTCCAATTCTTGGCAATTTTTCTTGCTTCAACTTTTGTCTAGATAACAGGGATTTTTGCTAAGAACCATTTCCCGGTTCCCCAGTTAGTTTGCCTTATCAGGTATGTGCTGTATTCTGTACTGATGTTGATATGTACATTACTGCTGCCCATTATGCTCAACATTTAAGCCCTGTTCCATGTGATTGTGCCCAGGTAAAGGACTCTACTACTAGACCTCATCAAGGACCCATGGAAGCATCGAGAAACTTCCTTCACAGGTTGTGCCGATGTCGTGCCGGAGTCACCTCCCTTGGTACCACTATGACCTGGACAAGGACGCCATCTTGTTTTGATAATTAAATTAAATGATTATAAACTTCTTTAGATTGTTTTTTTTTTTTTTTTGTCTTGTTCTATGTGTGTTCTAGTTTTTGTCTCTGGAAATGTGTATATTATGTGTTTATTTATGTGTGTTGTCAGCGTTACCACTGGAGCTGTGTGAAGTGTGTCTATCTATGTGGGTTGTCACCTATCTGGGATCCACAGTGAATAACAAACTATCGTTGGACCAAGAAATTACCGTCAGGATTGGTAAGGCAGCTACAAAATTGAGCAGATTAACAAAAAGGTTTGGGGAGAACAGAAAGCTCACGATTAAAACAAAAACTCTTGCCTATTAGGCTTGTGTTCTCAGCACTCTGCTTGATGGCAGTGAAACTTGGTCAACTTCACACCAGGAGAAACGGCTAAAACGTTTTCACATGCGATGTCTAAAATACACGGAGGGGACATGACAAAATCACATACACTGGAGTATGGGAAAGAGAAGGTAATACAACAGTTTTCTTAACATAGGTCTCCGCAGAGTCCGGTGACTGGGTCACACAAGAAAACGGAAGATGGTCTCTATGGTCATCCTTTAAGGCTAGAAGATGTCGAGAACGACCTCTACTACGATATAAAGATGTCTGTAAGTGGGACACGAAAGATACAGTTACTGAGGTGGACTCGTGGGAACAAAATGACGCTTTGTGTGAAGGGTACATATCAAGAAGGAAATGAGAATGAAGGAAGAAATGACTGCAGAAAGGATGAGAGCTCAGCGTTTGAGAAGAAACAGATTAAATACAAATGTTGACAACAACGGTCTTGAAATCCTATGCTATAAATTGTGGAAGACTTTTCTAGTCGCACTCGCCATCGCCATGGGCTTTGAATCCCATGCCTCCCCATAGCACAAAATAACACTATTGTCTGGAAAGACAGTGCCAGTCCATGTCAACATATATGTAGTGGATTGATAGACAAACACACGACAGGAGCTTCTTCAGACAGATGACCACCGTCAACTGACTGCAGACATGAAACAAACAACATGTTTGGATATGTTACAAGAACAAGGGACTCAAGAACTCGAGGAAAGAAGACATTTCATTCTCAAAGGGTTACAAAAACAAACAGCAAGTCTGAAGGAAGACAAGATAAGTTAGCTGCATAGGCTGGCTGCATGAATGCAGGAGGAGGCAAGCACTGACCTGATCTGCGATTCTGGTGATTGTATGTGACGACAAACTATCATCTGTGATTCGGGTGACTGTATGTGACGGCAAACTATCATCTGTGATTCAGGTGATTGTATGTGACGACAAACTATCATCTGTGATTCAGGTGACTCTATGTGACGACAAACTATCATCTGTGATTCAGGTGACTCTATGTGACGACAAACTATCATCTGTGATGCGGGTGACTCTATGTGACGGCAAACTATCATCTGTGATTTGGGTGACTCTATGTGACGGCAAACTATCATCTGTGATTGTCACAACCCTATTAAGTACAGTCAGTGTACCACACCGTAAGGTGTGCACCCAGGGTTGACACAGAGGTCAGGGCCGTCACTGGTCGAGTCCGTTCTGTGATCGCACGGCGAAACCAGCGCTCAGGATAAAGCAAGAAAGCTTGAACTGTGTTTTAGTAACACGATGACTGCTTCTGGGACTGAGCTGGTGAACGGGGTTAAGAGACACGAGGTAGAAGGAAGGAAGGACATTCGGTGTGCGTCGGTCAGGAAGA